GAGGTCCAAAGCCCGAACCGCCTCATCTTCAGCTCCCAGCTCAAGTACAAACGAAACCCTAAGCCCTAAAAGCCCTAAACCCCAAGTTTAGGGTTTAGGGTTTAGGGTTTAGGGTTTTAGGGGCTTAGGGGCTTTGGGGTTTAGGGTTCAGGGTTTTAGGGGCTTAGGGGTTTAGGATTTAGGGTTTAGGGTTGAGGGGCCTCAGGGATTCGGGAAGGGGCTCGGCAGCAGCTTTCAGGGCTTATGTTTTTTTCTTTGCAGGATGGATGAAGGTTTAGGGTTTAGGGTTTACTAAACCCTAAACCCTAAACTCCTTCCTGTGCAGACCTCTGCAACCTGTTTGTTCACCTGATTGGTGGAACCTGTTACAGATTACATGCCTTGATTGCCTTCCTGTTTTTGCAAAGCTTGTGCTACGCGGTATCCTCGATGTCGAGCTTGATATGACAGGACCGACCACCACACCACTGAATCCAGAAACTTCACCCCCTCTGCTTTGAACCCTGCATGCCAAACCATGTGGCGAATAGAGAGTGCGAATAATTAGCAACGCTTTTCCTGTAGCTTGCTACACCCAAGAGCCAGCTCTTCGGCCACCCCGACCCATAGTAAGAGACTGAAGAAGGCAGCCATGACGAAGCTTAGCTCAACGCAGTGCCGCCCTCTCACCTCGACAAAAATCGACAACATGTCTGCGACGGGGGCAGCAGAACAACGGACCTCAGCCCCAAACCCTCAAACCTAGACCAAGAACTCTTAAACTGACCCTAAACCCCAAACCCATGAACCTAAACCTTTTGCCCTGAAACTTTGAACCCTTAAACCTATATATATATATATAACTATATATATATATATATATCTATTTTTATCCATATATATATATACATATATATAAACCGGATGCTCGTCTTGTTTGCAGGATCAGGTCGAGTTCATCAAGAAGCGCTACGAGGCGATGAAGGACCTTCCCCCTTTTTCTCGTGACTTATGGTGGTTTAGGGTTTAGGGTTTAGGGTTTAGGGTTTAGGTTTAGGGTTTAGGGATTTGGGATTGAGGGTGTTGGGTTTAGGGGTATGGTTTGGGGTAACATAACAATCACGATAGATCGACCGACAACAAAAGCGGCAGCAGAAGCAGCAGCATCAGCAGTGACACCACCGACAGACGGAAACCAGCACTAATGCTGTTATCCACGGCGACGAGGTCAGCAGCAACTGCTGCTACTAAAGCAACAGCAGTCAGCAGTACCAACATCGTGCTTGTCGCCACGAGCGCATCAGACTACGATGTGACGGCTGGGGACGTTTCTTTGCAGGCTTCGGCTCTGCCCCCACAGGCATGTCACGCTTGATATGATCAGTTTTTGAAGCTGCCCAGCCTTGCGGCAGAAATCTGCATGAAGTCTCAAGAACCCCTCCGAATACCTGCGCACTACTACTACTGCTACTACTACTACTACTACTACTACTACTACTGCTACTGCTACTGCTACTACTACTACTACTACTACTACTACTACTACTACGACTATAATACAACGATGACGTTTCCTCTACCACAAACTTACTCCACTTGTACTTGCAGGACGACATTTGTACAACTACGAGAGCCACAGCAGCTCAATAGCTACAGCACCTACAAGTGATCATCCTAGGTATTCAGGGTATCTCTTCAGACCAGATGTTGACCCTAAGCCCTTAACCCCCAACCCTAAACCGTGTAGCGATGCAACCCTACACGTACGTAGCCGGGTTGTCGGAGCTGTGCCCTGATCAGCAGCAAGAGCCTGCACCCTCAACCCCCCTAAGCTCTAAAATCCTAGACCCTGAACCCTAAATTCCAAATGGTAGGGTTTAGGGTTTAGGATTTAGGGTTTGGGGGCCCTGAAAACCCTAAGCCGCGCTGGTCGCGATCCCTAAACCCTAAACCCTAAACCCTAAGCCCTAACCTCCAGGATCATCCGCTCTTCAGCTCGATGGAGATCTGCCTCCCAGAGGTCCGCTTAAAGGGTTCTATAAAGCTTGAATTTTAGGGCTTAGTGTTTAGGGTTTAGGGTTTAAAGTTTGAATTTTCGGGTTTAGAGGTTAGTTATCTAGGGGCCATTGGAGTTTCATCGGTGCTCTATGAGGGTTCGTTGGGGGGCACTACAGGGTTCAGGGTTTTCAGTTTCGGGTTGTAGCGGTTTTGAAGGGTTTTGGGTGGCAGGGGTCGGTTTCCGGGCTTCAGGTTTCGGGTTAGGGTTGAAGGGGTTTAGGGTCTCGGGTTTAGGGTTTGGGGTTTAGGGCTGTGGTCGCAGTGTTTATCGGGGTTTCGGGTTCAGGGGTTCAGGTTTCGGGTCTAGGGCTTTGGATCTGGGGTTTAGGGTTTAGGGGCTCTGGGTTCACGGTTCTCGGTTTAGAGTCTCGTGTTTTGGAGTTCTGTGAGTGGTTGAAGGTGGGGGCAGTGCCATCTGTGGCCCGCTATGGTTGAGGATTGCCAACTGAATTCTACAGGAGAAAAGTTTCTTGCGTGAGCCCTTAATGGTTTAGCTGTTTCAGGGCTTTCGCACTTGAGGATTTTAGCATGTACGGTTAAATCGGTTCTGACATTATTTAGAAACGCAGATCCCGTGCTTTGAGGGCAATGATGTTGCGATGTTGGGCCTCAGGCAAATAGCCCCGGCTGGCTTTGCACAGAGAGGATGGAGATCTGCCTGATGTTGGGGCTCGTTTATCGTTCCTGGTGCAGGCTATAACTTCAGGCTCACCAGTGAACATGTACTCTTCTTAGCACTTCGAGCCCACAACATGACAAGTTCATTTTGACATAAGCCTTACATCAACTTGTTCACTCTTTTTTGTTCTTCCTTACCCCCTTCAGCCGGGGATCCTTACGCGAAGAGGCAATTGTGTGATCTCGGAACCAAGAAGGTGATCTTATCAATCTCAACACAGCCCTAAGCCTGCCCGGTACCCAGTTTAACCCAACATTGCCTTGAAACTATCCGATGACCTTGGCGACGGGAGTCCAGGAACGAAATTGCTCGTATCAACCTGAAAGTCTCTAGACTCCCGAAGCTGCAGGAGAAGGAGAAGGCCAAGCAGTGGGCACCTCTCATAGTCAAAGGCGCCGTGGCGGGTCCAAGGGTACAAAAGCCATTCTGAGGGCAGAGTGCGCAGCTTTCAGGGTGGGCGGGTCTTGTTGATCTACTTGCCTAGCTCCGGGATTCGGGTTGGATGCTGCTGAATTATCGAGACCAAGCTGAGCATGTACCAGTTGCTGCTAGAGTTTTCAGCGTTGCACGCCATCATAGCAGATTGAGTAGTAGTAGTAGTAGTAGTAGTAGTAGCAGTAGTAGTAGTAGTAGGAGGAGGAGGAGGAGGAGTAGTACCCGTCGTCGCCTTCGTCGTCGTGGGAGCATGGAACTCATGGCGCTGGTGGTGTGTCATACTTGGACTCAGACTTCAGGTTGCTTCTAGGGTTTAGGGGTTTGGGGTT